GCTGAAAATTATCTTTAAAGTATCCGATTAGATTAATTGTTCCTAATGACCTTGTGTTTGCGTCCCTTCAGTTAACCTTACTGTTACATATATAACAAATTGTGAGTGTGGAGTTTTCTTAGCCCACTGTAAAAGGAGTTCTAAGCTGTGTGAGCTTGTTCAGTTTTCTGAGATGATACACGCTATACAAGTGATAGGCTGCATAACTGACAAGGGCGGCTGCCAGTCAGGGCTGAATATCGTCCAATTCTGCTCAATGGACCGGTAGGTCATTTGCATCTCTATTTCACTCCCTGATGTCACCTCTTTAAAATCATCCCATATTATCTGATGTTTAATTACACATACAGTATCTGTTTCACAATCTGCAGCTGCAGTCATAGTTGCGGGTCAGTGGGTTTGTCCTGCTGCTGCAGCTCTGTATGTCATTTGTGCCGTCTCACCCTGCCTGAGATCTTTTTGCCCCAAACTGTCCTTAAAAAGACCTTCTGGCTTTTATCTAAGGCAATCAACGTGATAGATTTTCCTTCCTACTCTTGTAGTCGTTTCCACTGCACTTTTCTTAAACTATTTGCTTTAATCTTGAATTATAGTGGTTATTAAAAGCAGAGAATATTAGCCAGGGCCAATTGGATTGATGTATAGCCAGTATTTTCTTTGTTGTTCCACTTAGTACATTTTTTTAAATGTCTGTAATGAGTTGTTGCGACAAAATTCATCTTTATTGTCACAGTGGAAAGCAGATGGTACTAAAACGAAACTTAAATCTTATTACTGTTCACTTTTACTGAATCAAATGTATTGTAAACCCGGTGAGATTTTTGGATTTCCCAAGTATTCATTTTCATTGTCTAACAGTGGTTCTCAAACTGTGGTACGTGCTCTCTAGTGGTACGCAGGGAAAATTCATATTTTCACATTTACATTTTGAATTGAATAAATCTGAAACATACCATGCACAATTAATACAACATGTAAACATAAATATCTTTCTAAACCTCTCTCCTGTGGTGGAAGCTAACAGTGAAGGCCTCTGCTGCTATATTCTAATGTTGGTCATCATGGTGGTACTCAGAGAGATCAGTGTTTTCTCAGGTGGTACAGAGTAGAAAAAGTTGGAGAACCACTGGTCTAACATAATTGAACAGATAGTAATAACTGACAAATCTGTAGGCATTCTTGTGTCTGCGATTAGACCAGCACAGAGATCATTCTTGTTTTTGCACACTGCTAAAATGGTGGGAAATATTCAATATTAATCAAAGGATCCAGAAACCACACATGCACCTCTGCAGGGTCAAGTCTCTTGAGTCGGTGCCTAAACTCTGCCTCTTCTTACATCATCAACACTCTGGGAAAGGGGAGGTCTGGTGAGTGATACTCAGTTTCAGGTCTGGGCCTGACTCTGCAGGAGGTTGACATAGTTAAAAATGAGCCAAGACTCTGTTTAAAAAAATGCTGAGGCCCTTCTCAAGGATTTTTTCCCATGAAGCACCGGGCTGCTGGAAACTTTTTTAAGTTATGGATTTGTACAATGAGGCGGATGAAGATGGAGGATACAATTTCACTTTTATAATTTTTTACTTTTTTTGGGGTTGTAGTACTTTTTTAAAAAGAGGTAAATGGTTCTTATTCAAAATGGGTACCACAGTTTACGCCATAGTGAACAACCTGTGAAGATTATGCAAATGAGTCCACTGGTATGTGAAAATAGTTTCCTCAAGTTTCCATTGTTGCTAAAACCTTGCTGGATGTTATTTTGTGCTAAAATGCAAGAGGGTTTCTAAACTTCATTGGCTTAGATTTTATTAACATAAGTCACAGGTTAATTAAATGTCCTAAATACTGTATATCAAAACCTTTTTCTGTATATTGCAGAAACAGCTTGTATCTTGTAGAACCCGCGGAGAGTTGCTTTCAAAACTTCAGAGAGAGAGAGACCGAGGAAGGGATAGAGAGAGTGAGGGCTAGAGAGAAGGAGAGGGACAGGGGGCGGGAGAGAGAGAGAGAGAGAGAGAGAGAGAGAGACAGACAGCATCTTTTCTCTCCCTCCCTTTCTGTGGGTTGGCAGAAGATTCTATAATGGGACAAACATTTGCTGTGTTTTGATCTTTGTTTACAAATCCTTCTAAGCAGCAAATGTACCTCTGATTGGCTGTTTTGCCACATGCCAAATTCAGCGCTGCTCGTCCATTTCATCGCCCAGAAAAATGATGAAACATATGTCGTCATTCTCATTTATCCCCACATAACTTCCTATATTGTATTTAGTTTCATTTTTGGCATAAGAAGAAAGGGTATTGATTTTTATGAAGTATTTTGGTGTGAAATAGCAGCAATAAGTGAATGGAAAGTGAAATTCTTATATAAAATGGTATCTTTCTGCCTGTGCAATAAATGCATTAAAATCTTCACAAATTAATTCACACTTTTAACACGTTAATTTCTGACAACTCAGGAAATAAACTTTTAAGTTGCTGGTATGTGGCTAATAAGCACTGCATACATTTGTGAAAGGCAATATTTTTAATTAAGCTATAATAATAAGAATACTTTTAGAACAAACGTTTTCTTTAGTTTGCAATTGTGCATTCAAATATACTGTATGTATTTAAATTTTTATATTGTTGGTTTGGCTGTCTGTTTTTTTCACTGAGGGGGTGGTGGCTCACATTCAAAACTGCACATTGTGACCTTTTATTTGTCTGCAGCTTAAAATGTGTCATGGGTTTAAAACCTGATACTGCGCGCCAAGAAATCCTGTGAGGCGTGGTCACTAGTACGCCTCCAAAATCCCCGTCTGTTCTGAGAATGGAGGGGAAGAGTTTGGAGGAGTTGTTTTCTCATTTAGCCTGTTCACTGTTATTTTATGGTTTGTTTTTTTTAAATTTGACTCATGTCTGTCATCTATTCCCTGAGATCAGAACTGTTTTTGGTAAAGGCAGCAAGTATTGGAAGAGGATCTTCTCTTCCACAGCCGGGCTGTGGAATTTTGACAAAAAAAAAAAATTCTGTCGATTGCAGTCGATGCAGCTTCAAAGGGATGCCAGCCTTGGCAGAGTGTTCTGTGTTTTAGGCTTTACAGCATTTAGTCGTCTCTAAAACAGGCTTGCCAAGTGATACCTTAATCCCCCCTCAGCAGCCTCACAGAGAATAGACTAATCATGGCCACGTTAAGCTGTTAGTGCAACAAAAAATCTTTGTGGGGCAGTAGATTTACAGCAGTTAGACCACCACAGGCTGTACAGGTGTTTACAGCCCACAGTCAACATGTTAGTGCTTTTTACTCTCCCTTATCTCACCTTTCTTCTCTTCCATGAGTCTCCCAGTGTCTTGTACTGCCCCCTTGACAACAGAGTGAATGTTGTCTTTGATACTATCTGATCAAAAATGCACAACAGATGTTTGAGAGTTTGGGAGAGCAATCTTCTCAAACACTGGTTTGGATGAGAGTGGGAAGGAATGTGGGGCTGGAATAATGAGTTGGTTACTCCATCACAGGAAATTAATAGATTCAATGTTTTGTAATTGACGGGTTTATTGTGTTCCCAAGTTAAGATTCTCCTTGTTTATGAGAATTTAGTCACTTTGTTGTTTACAATTGAAGTCATACAATTGTATGACTTAACATGGAGAGTTGTTCATGCTGTCAGTTGGACTAAATACCCAAAGTGAACGTATGTCATGGTACTATTTGGTTTAAGTTATAAATTTGCCTCATTGCTGAAGGCACACGTTTGAACGTCGGTTCCCACATTGGATTGTTGTCATTTTTGAAATAATTTCAATTCTACTCAAATAGAGAAGTTTGTTCTGAAAGCCCTATTTTACAGTACGTTCCCCCAGCACTCATGTTTTTCCTGCCTTAACCAGGAATTTGAGTTTAAGAGTTTAAATATAAGCCTAACCTGGTTCCCAAAGTGTGGTGATGAACTCCCCGCTTCCCGTATATATTATTTTTATTCATCCCGCTGTGTGGCAATTGCACAATTTTCCCTTTATTTAAGGAGATTATCAGTTTTTTAAATAAAGGTATGTGGTATTCTGAAGTAATAGTTGTGTCATTATTAGAATAATTGAAGGATTCAATAGCCCTGGAAAAGGGTTTTTGTTTTAAAATTATGTGAGCAACAACATGATAACATTCATGTTATTTTCTTAAACTCAGATATCTGCTGAAGTTAGATGTGTCACACGTAACAGCAGAGGAACTTATGTGGGGGCTTACTGGGTTAGGTAAGGTTTTCTAAACCTGAAGGACCTGCTAGTCTGTCTGTTCCCTGACGTCATCTAATGTCCTGGGTGTGTCTGAGGGGCCCTACGCTGCTCTTGATGTTAGAAGTCAAAACCCTGGATCAGGCATTTACATTTAAGGCACATTTTCTGTACAAGCCTCAAATACTTTTTCATCCCCGTGTTAGTTTGCCTTCATGTAGAGGATCAGAGCTTTTCATGTCAAATACGTCCATGAATTAGGTCCTTGTTCTCTCTCATTTTACACAGTGTTGTGAATTATCTACTTCTGAAAAAGTTCCAACCAGCTTCGGTTATATTTTCCTTGTAGTGCTTTTAATATAAGAAATCTTGGTATATATTTAAACACACTATTTTTTTGTAATGTAAAAACATGTTTTTGTAAAATTTTAAAGTTTGGAACACTACAGCACATTTGGTTATATGAATAATGTTTAAAGGCATTAGGATGTTGTAAATTTATGTAAACAAACAAGTCATTTTCTGCAGTGTAGCTGTGGAATGAAAATTGATACAAATACTCTGTTGGAGGAAGAAGCCCATCTAGAAAGTGGGGAAAAAAAGAAGCCCTGCATAGGTGACATCATCACCTTGACTTGTATAAACAGTGTGTATGCGTGTGTGAGGGGGGTTGTCTTGAATTCCTCCTATGGAGCAGTTTCTCAGGCTCAGCATGCCATCTTTGCTGCAGGTAGTGATTTCATTTAATGCAGACTTAGAAGCTGATTGCAATCATTCTGTAAAAAACACAACAATGGTTGCAATCTTTTCTGCTGTTTATCAGTTGCAGTGAGGGTCATCCTATGGTACAGGCTAATTTGACTGAGACATTTGTATGTGATCCCGCTCAAAAGGCTTGCACACATCTCCAGTAACTGCTTACAATTTCTAATTAAAAGAAAGCCCAAATTGTTGAAAAGTTGTCATTTCAGTTGAAAATGGGAAAATTGTATGGGGTTTAACAACAAGATGGCCAATTAAAGCTGCGTTAATCAACAGTAAAATGGATGGATGGAGGGAGAGAGGGAGGGAGGGAGGGATGGATGGATAGATAGATACTTTATTGATCCCAAAGGGAAATTAAGGCATAATAGATAGAAAAAACTATTCCATTGGGGAGTCGCTTTGGTAAGTTAGGGATGTAGAGCAAAAATAAACATTATTGGTTAAAACTAGCAAAAACAATCAGTATTATGAATTTAGCCCTAATCACATACCTTAGGGTTATGCTGATGATTATAAAAAAATCTCTGAAGTGATTCATTTTCACCGTTTTTCATTTTCCCAGCAAAGCAAATCATTTCTAGGTCAGTGGTTGTCAAAGGGCTAGAATTGCTTGACATTTTTATCCTGCCTCGGCACAAATTGGTTGAATGCACTTCAGGAAAACATGACATTGCCTAGCATGGTCTTCCATTGAATAATGCTCTAACACATTACTGGTTTTAATTTTTATAAAAACTGCATTACCTTTACTCAAACATTTCTCTTTTTATCACAGTATTTTAAAACTGTTTTACTATTGTGAATATGTGTTTTTTTTTAAAAAAATCTATATTTCTGTATTGTTTCACATAAAGCTCAATCAAAAGATCAATTTTTAATCTATTGACCCCAACTAGAGATTAGTTTTGTCATGCACTGGCTTGATAATGCTAGCTTTGTCTAATTTGCTGATAACTGTCTTACCAGTGCCAGGTTAACATGACTGATTTGGTTTTTTTTTATTGTCCATGTACACGTGTCCTGCAGAGATAGGCACCGAAACAACAAGCTGATTATATGATTTGTGATAAGGACTATGAAGTGCTCAGAGGAGAAATCAGTGCACAAGTGTTTTTGTTTGTTAAACCGTTTATCTATCATTTTCCTAATTATGAATTCTTGTCTTGCAGGCAGGCGATAAAAGAAGAAACAGGCTCCTTGCTCCTAGCTTAAAGGAGACACAAGATAGAACCAGAGCAGGAGACTGAGGAGAATTGTACCAGGAACAAGGAGTAGTTGAAACAATTGTGCCTCTGCATCACTGATGAGAAGAACTGGAATGATATCCTGAACTTTTTTCTAGAATTTAACAAGGTAGCAATGAGCGGGGAGAAATAATGGCCAAAAACAAAGATGCACGCCCCCCGACATTTGCCGTCAGTGTGGTGGGCCTCTCAGGTACCGAGAAGGAGAAGGGAAATTGTGGTGTGGGCAAATCCTGCCTGTGCAATCGTTATATACGCCCTGATGCGGATAACTACTACTCAGAGCACACCTCAGTGCTGAGCACAATAGACTTTGGTGGACGTGTTGTTAACAATGACCACTTCCTTTACTGGGGGGATGTATCCCATCGAGGGGACGATGGCTTGGACTGTAAAATACAAATCATTGAGCAAACAGAGTTCATTGATGACCAAACATTTCTTCCGCACCGGAGTACGAACCTGCAGCCATATACAAAACGAGCTGCAGCTACCAAGCTTCAGTCAGCAGAGAAGCTGATGTATATCTGCACGGACCAGCTAGGCCTGGAACAGGACTTTGACCAGAAGCAGATGCCAGACGGAAAGCTGAACATTGATGGTTTTGTGCTCTGTGTTGACGTTAGTAAGGGTTGCAATAGGAAATTTGAAGACCAAATGAAATTTGTCAACAGCCTCTACTCTCAAATTGCCAAGTCGAAGAAGCCTATTGTTTTTGCTGCCACAAAATGTGACGAGTGTGTGGACCAGCACCTTAGGGATATGCAAAATTTTGTTGCGAGCAAGAAAAACTTAATGCTAATAGAGACTTCAGCACGCACCAATGTCAATGTGGAGCTGTGTTTTAATGCCCTCATTCAGCAGCTAGATAAAACACGAGGGAAACCAAAAACTGTGCCATATCTGGAGGCCTATAAAGTCCAAAGGCAGCTTATTGCCTCAGTGACAGATAGATTTGAAAAACTGATGGTGCACACAGTCAGAGACTATCATACCACGTGGAAAACTGTGATCACTGGTATGAAGGGCCAATCCGAATATGATGACTTTATCACATTGGAGGGCTCCAGGAAAGCACGCAACATGTTCTCAAAGCACATTGCACAACTTAAACAGGAGCACATTAAGAGGAGGAGGGAAGAGTACCTTACAACACTACCCAAGACTCTTAATAACATCCTCAACAACTTGGATGAGGTCGAGCACCTCACATGGCCTGAGGCACAAAGTGTGATTCGAAACAGGCCTGATTTCCAGTACTGGTTTGTAATTCTGGAACAGACACCGTGGGATGAGACGGACCACGTGGACAACAGTGATCGCCGCATACCATTTGACCTCCTTAATACACCTGATGGTGAGAGGATTTATCGCAATCATGTGCAACATCTGTTGTCAGAAAAGAGAAGGCTGGAAATGAAAGATAGATTCAAGAAGACCTTAGACAGGGTTCATTTTATCAGCCCAGGGCAGTCTTGGGAGGAAGTCATGTGCTTCGTCATGGAGGACGAGGCCTACAAGTACATCACAGAATCAGATAGGAGGGATGTTTACTGCAGACACCAGCAGGAAATAGTTGAAAGGGCTAAGGAGGATTTTCAGGAAATGCTTTTTGAGCATGCTGAGCTCTTTTATGACTTGGATTTAAATGCCACCCCTAGCTGTGACAAGATGAGCGAAATTCACAGTGTGCTTAATGAGGAGCCCAGATATAGAGCGCTGCAAAAGCTTGCACCAGACAGAGAGTCTCTCCTCCTTAAACACATTGGATTTGTTTACCATCCCACAAAAGAAACATGCCTGAGTGGGCAAAACTGCGTTGACCTAAAAGTGGAGCAGGTTCTGGCAAACAGACTGGTGCAGCTGGACCATGGGCGCTCCAATCTCTACTACAACAGCGCCAGCATTGATAAGATCAACCTTTGCCTTCTGGGAAGGGATGGACTCTCACAGGAATTAGCCAATGAGATTAGAGCTCAGTCCACAGATGACGAGTATACCCTTGATGGTAAAATTTATGAATTGGAGCTGCTTTCTGTTGATGTAAACTCCACCCTGCTCTTTAGCCACACGTGGATCTCCACATTTAAACCACATGGTTGCTTTTGTGTCTTTAACTCCATCGAGTCTCTCAACTGCATTGGAGACTGCATAGGAAGAATCAGAGCAGAGATTTCGCAGAGCCGGAGAGACAGATTTGCCCAACCTCTACCTTTTATTCTTATCTTGGCAAACCAGAGGGACAGTGTCTATAAAAACATACCTATTCTCCGTCACCAGGGCCAACAGCTAGCAAACAAGCTACAGTGCACCTTTGTTGACATCACCTCTGTGGCTTTTCCACGCAAATTCACTGAGTTCCAAATAAAGCAGGGTCTCAGAGCAATCTTGGAGGGTCTAAAGCACAACTATGATGTCTTAGCTCCACTGCCCTCTATCAAGGACATGTCAGAGACGGACCTTAGAATAGTTATGTGTGCTATGTGCTGGGATCCTTTCAGTGTTGACCTTATCCTCTCACCTTTCCTGGACTCACATTGCTGCAGTGCTGGACAGCCCGGTCAGAGCAACACACTTATACTGGACAAGATCATTGGTGATACCAGGAGAAGAATCCAGGTCACAGTGCTGTCTTATCACTCTGCCATTGGTGTTCGCAAAGATGAACTGGTGCATGGCTACATTTTGGTATATTCTGCCAAACGAAAGGCCTCCATGGCGACACTGCGGGCATTTTTAGCTGAAGTCCAAGATGTAATACCTGTTCAGATGGTAGCAATCACAGACAGCCAGGCGGATTTCTTTGAGAATGATTCAATTAAGGAGTTGATGACAGAGGGGGAGCACATAGCCACAGAGATTGCTGCCAAGTTTACTGCTCTATACTCACTGTCACAGTATCATCGACAAACAGAGGTGTTTACTCCATTCTTCAACGAAGTGCTGGATAAAAAGCAGAGCATTGAGAGCTCATTCTTGTTCGACAGCTCATCACGGGAGTGCACCACAGGTGCTAGTGAAGATGTCTTCACCACCTCACCTCATAGACAGTCCCCTGCCCACAACACCTACTACCCAGAATCTGATGATGACAATGAAGCCCCCCCACCTTACAGTCCAATAGGTGATGATGTTCAGCTTCTACCCACGCCCAGCGAGCGGGCAAGGTACCGCATCGACCTGGAGGGCAATGAGTATCCAATCCACAGCACGCCTGTGGGAGACCATGAACGCAACCATAAAGTGCCTCCACCTGTGCGGCCCAAACCTGTCCTCCCAAAGCCTAACGTTAAAAAGCTGGACCCCAACTTGCTTAAAACAATTGAGGCCGGCATGCGGAGTAACCGCAGGACACCTCGTGGCCCTGTGATGCACACAGAAGATATCGAGGCTTCAGAAAACTATGCGGACCCTGTGGACACCTTGTTTAGATCCAGGGGTTTCCACAACGATGACATTTATGCGGTGCCAGATGAGGGACACAGCCGACTAGTTAAAATGAGAAACTCTTTTGGTGGGTTGCATGGCCTGCATGTAGGTGGAGAGGAGGAGAACGGCTATGATAGAAAGTCTCAGGCCAGTCGGCGGCCTTCCAAATACAAACATCGCTCTAAAATCCTCTTCAGTAAGACAAAAGCCTACCAAAGACGGTTTCACTCTGACAGTGATGGGGAGGAGTCTTGTCCTGCCACTCAAAAAAAGAAAAAGGGAAGAGCCCACAGGGGCAGTGAGGAAGATCCACTGCTCTCACCTGCTGACCCCTGGAAGGGCGGGATAGACAACCCTGCAATCACGTCCGACCCAGAGCAGGAAGACAAGAAAATGAAGAAGAAGAAGGCAACCAAAACTCCAAAGGAACCAAAGAAGGTGAGTTTTGACTCTGATAAAAAGTTTGACCTTTAACATCAAGTGACAATTTGAAAATTCTACAAAAAACATAATGTGAAACAAATCAATTATGTTGGTCCAATGTTTTTTCAATGCTGACTTGAAATGGAACTCTGGGTGCATTAAATATCAGTGTAATTAAACAATTTTGTGTGAGGGAGGGATGCCAATATCACATCTCTATGTTTAGAGCAATAAAAAGGTGAGCATTTGTTTTTATCAATTAGGCTCTTAGGCTCTATTCAGCTGCAGCTGTAACCTTAAATAAACATCATCTGTGGACACTGTTCAGACACACCTGTGCTCACATTCAAAAGGAAAACCAACACAAGATTGACAGAATATTGGATTGAATATAGTCCATTAGGCTGCATGGCTTTGGCACATATTTGGATTCGCTATAGCACAATTTATGAATATTGGTGGATCCCTTTATTGTGAAAAGAACGACCTTAACCAAACAGCGATGTTTTGAAAGGCAGGTATAATCCCACAATGAGCATGCAGCACACACCCAGACATTACATGTAATTATGCACCAACGCACCAAATTCCTCACAAATGACTTCCAGGTTCATCCACCTCGGAATACACTGGAGAGCTGATATGAAATTTTAACCAGGTCCACATCTGAAGTCAGACTTCAGGATGGACTCTTTATGTTTAGGGGATGGGTAGTTATAATTAGTGCACACAAAAATTGCTAAAGGCTGCATCTAGAATGGCAACATCTGCTTTTGGTGAAAGGTGTGTACAGTGGTTTTCAGAATATAATAAGACTCCAGACAGCAACCTCTTCTGGGCTCAGAACTCACTCTAAACATTTTAGAGTGAGTTACAACAATATGAATTGGAAAATCACCTGCTATTGGAAACAGACAGGGCTTTTTCTGCTGCTAAACTTAAACTAATCAGTTAATCTCGTACAGTGATTTTCAGTGTTTTGGTAGATGTAATTTTAAAAATGACCTATTCATACAAAAGGACTGCTATGACTATACATGCATTAGACAGTCACAAACTAATGCAAATGTTTTTTCTTAATTATTAACAAGAAAAACAAACAAAACTTAATTCTGTAGTCAATTTTAGTATGTCTGTTCTCAACATTGTCGGTATCAAAGTCAACAAATAATAATAATGTGTTCAAAATTGAACTGCCAAAACTGCGAACTGAAATTGGCAGTTTAAAAAAAAAAAAAAATTTAAACTTAATCAAAAACTAGCTAGAGTTTGAAACTTTAATGGATCCAAAATTGTCCTTTGATGCAGAGCAGGAAGAACTGCATGAAGAACATGAGTGATATTTTGTTTAAAGACTCCCTGTACATCAAAACCTGTGTACCTTCTGTAGAGCAAGATGGTACAGGTATCGGTGGTGTATATGGAACTGTGGTTTTAAGGCCTCTGTTCTCTGGAGTCTCATAATAGACAACAATCATTCTGGATAACAGGCCATTTCAGCATTGGCGGAAAACTAGGCATGATAATTCAGTCAGTCATTTTCCTACAGCCCAAACACATACAGTTGGACAACAAACGGAGATGCCCATGTGAGCATGCACACTTGCACGAAATGTCAGATAAAAGTGTGCAAATCAGTGGAGAGTCAGCCTCTGGTGTGACATGAATGCAGAGCATTGTTGAAACAATCAGAGTCTCTTTGATAATCAGAGAGAGGGTAGAGTCGACGGAGCAGCCGGAGGTGCAGAATGGAAGGTGCTTGAGTCGCCTTCCCGACCAATTATGGGAGAGCCTGAGAACAGTGAACTGCTGCAGGCGTGACAACCCTGACAATGGAGGAGTGTGGGAAATCAAAAGCCACCTCGTTACCCATGACTCAGTTTTGACTGTTGTTGTCGTCTTTCTTCTGGTCTTTTTCTCTACATGAACCTCCCCCTGCTCCTTCCCACTCTCTCCTTCCCACATTCTTATAGCTCTCTTTGTAATCTATTCCCAAATTGCCATCCTCTACCTCCCTCTCTGATATGATCTGCCCTCTTAATGATCATGAAGGGGCAGATCTGCTCTCCTTAATGTATTTTTTTAGTCTCTGTCTCCCTTTCATCTTCCTCCATTTATTTTTTTTCCCTTTTCTTAAAATCGTATTTTTTGAGCAATTGCCTTCTTCCTGACCTACTCATCCCTCCTGCGTCATGCCATCTGGCCTTTTCCCTGCTTTTCCCTGGCCCTTTCCCTTAATCTTTTACTTCTCCCTAATAATTCTTTATGGCTGACTCCGTCATTTCATCACATTTTCAATTCTTTCTTTCTCTTTCTCCTCCTTTCCCCCCCACATGCAGTTTCTCATCTTTCTCACTTTCACTTTCACTCTCTTCGCCCTTTTCCTAACTGCTCATAAAATAATACATCTTATTTTTCAGCCAAGATCCTCCAAACCCCCAAAGCCTCTATATCCACCCACCAGGAGAACCTGGGAGAGCAACTATTTTGGTGTCCCACTGCAGAACCTGGTGACCCTGGAGCGACCCATCCCACTGTTTATCGAGAAATGCGTTGAGTACATTGAGCGAATAGGTGAGTCACCACCGCAGTGTTCTGTTAGACTTAGTCCTTTTGTAATGTTTTGTTTGCTATTTCTCCCCGTTGTTTCCCTACCTGCCTCTGCTGGGGTGTATAGGTGCAACCAGGATTTCTGGTATTTTGAAACTCCTGCTTGTGTCATAATATGCAAAAGCTTGGTGGTGGCTGATTTGCCTGTCATATTTTCAAATTAGTAAAGAGGTCGGATGAAGGGATGTACTTGTTGTTAAGGAGTAAGGGGAGAAAAAGGAGGTGGAGGCACATGACTCTCTATAATGAAATCTTGACCCAGCAAGCGTTCATCGTCTGGTCTTCTCTCCAAGCCTTCTGCCAGTCAGTGTGGGTCCATTTTAAAATTGATGAGTTGTGTTGGCACCACTGTTGGTGTGTTGCCAGAACACTGCTGGAACAACCACAAAATAAGACGGGGAGAAAAAATGATGAAGATAAAAAACCTAATTAAGGAATGCAAGTGCAGAGATTTACAGAAGTATGTGTTGTTCATCAATCAACTGCTCGGAAAGGAGAAAGGGAAAATTAAATGATGCCAGGAAGACAGACGGTATTAGAAATTACAGATGTCGGAATGTTTGGAAGGGCACAATAGAGGTTGAACAACAATCCAAGTTTACACAACAGGGAGCAAACAGATCTGGCAGGACTGGTTTGGAACACTTTCTATGTAGAGTTTATCCATTTAATCTGATGTAGTATCACACACTGTGAAATAATGAAAGGTTATCTTTCAGCCTACAATACAAGTTTAAAAAGATTTGCCCCCTGCTGCTGTCAGTGCTCAATCCTGGATATAAAGAATTAGGCAAGAGTACTCTAGCTGAATGTTCTGTCTCAGAATTTGATCCTGACTTGATAGAAACCTCTTGATGATGTTAATGTGGTTATTTTGTGGTGAGAAGAAATACTGGATTTAAAGCCCAAACACATTGGTCACTTCTTTGAGACAAACCCTTTGAAAAACATGACTGCAGTGACTCCCATTACCGCCAGCCACTGCTGTGTGGAGCAACTTTATTCAAATGAAACATGGTTTATAAAAAGACAAGTGGCCTGTTAGAACACGTTCAGCTTCCAGTAAGTGACACAAACCTCCTGTGCATGCTGGGTATGTGTGTTTGGCTTCTTGCCCAACCGTCGTTAGAGACGGCCTCTCCCAGAGTTTGGGCTGTTGCTAAAAAGTCATGGATGAGTCTGGTAGATAATTATACTCTGTGCTCGACCCTAGATTCCATAGTGTTTGTTTTCATTTTTGTCCTGGTGACAGCAGTGGTACTTCTGTCACTTGTTTCTAAATGAGCTCCTGGCTTCACACATCAGGCTGTTAAAATAAACAAACAACACATGCAAGGCAGGGTCAGCTGGTAAAAAAAGAGCTATTTCCCCAGAAAAAAAATTGTAATGGCTTAAACTGCTGAGCATTGTTTGAGAGTTTTTCTGCTGGGTGCGCTTTGCTGTGTATTTAAGACCAACACTGGGCAATGGCACAAAGTGTTTAAGACCAACACTGGGCAATGGCACAGTGTCTAAGACTCGTTGTTTAATGCAACACAGGCATGGAGTCTCATGCAAATCCTGGCTCTATGGTTCAAAGGTCGACTTCCTGCCCTCTGAGCTGCGGTCCTATCAATAATTATTTTTTATGTTAAATGTTTTTAATGTTGATACACCACAAGTCTGAGGAATCAAAGAATTGCAGAAATAAGTTAAATATGTGTAAATATTTTTTATGTGTTGTTTTGCATCTATGGTAATTTTAAATTACCACAGATGCAGTGTGTTGCAGTTGAAACAAACTTGCTCCTTATTTTCTTATCATCCTTCTCCTCCTCTATTGTATGCAGCAAATATAAAAATGTACATGAAAAGAAGACATTTCCTGTCTTTTTAAATGAATGAGCGATTGTAGGTTTTCTTTTTTTTAACTTTTCTCAGTTTAAGTTGATGGCTCTTAATTCCTGGCCTAAAAATCCCTCCTGATAATGTTTTGTCAGAATCTACATGAGCCTGCCAATCAAGTTTAGGGTTAATCCCAGCTCTTTGTGCGTCTGTGTCTGCCAGCTGACAAATGTTTCCAAAATTTCTTGGTGGAACAGCCTCTCCCTCTCCTGTCTCTTACTGGAGTATGATTTCTTATCAAGAAACACCTATGTGCAGTTTTTTTAAAGACTCTCTATTACGTAACTTTAATATCCAGGCAGCCGTTGAGGATTTACAACTTGATGAGACCCTTTTGGGTCATTTCCTTGTGTGTCTGTTTGCTTTAGTTGTGGTTTAAAGCCCTGCATGTGCAGCACTATATGGGGCTGAAGTGAAGCGCTGTAGTGGATTCTAGGTTTCAAAGCTGTGCCATATTTTGGGTGGAAAAATAGGCTAAAATCTTTTGAGAGCAACCTCGCAAACCTCTGCTAAATTAATATCCCAGAAGGCATAGAGTACTGTGACTCTAGCTGACCTTTGACTGATTAGCAGTGAAGGAGGAAGGAGACGCTCCCAAAGGGAATCATTAAAACATCAACCATTATATGGCACTATTGTTGTTTCTGCTCTCAACACTAGACACTTGTCATGTTAATAGGGGTGAAAGTCAAAGTGTGAAATCTCTCCCCCTTCCTTATCCCGGCCAAAGATTGGGCCTCTTATCGATTTCACTTATAGATCTGTAGTTTTTTACAATCGTGTCATCAATTATGAGGGTCCAGCCAATAGATGGTGAGGACAGATGGACCAGACAAGGTCACAACTAGACAAAAAGACAGAGTTTAGAATCCTTCACATTATTGGTATTGTTATTATTTTTACTATTATAATTATTGTTACTATAATTAGACTGTACTTGACTCAACACGCCACCCAACTGTTACTACAGGCTATAGTCATATCCTGTCGGGTCTACCAGTATGCCCAACAAGAGCCCTAAAAAAAGTCCAGAATGTGGCAGAGCATCTAGTCTTTAACCAACCCAAAAAGGCACATGTAACTCCTTTGCTCATTGATCTACACTGGCTGCCGGTCGCTGTGTGACTACAGTTTTTGCAAATAAATTACAACAATTTTATCTCCTGTTACAGATAAAGAAGTTTTCATCTTGTATTTCGCAGCTGAACAAGTCATTAAAAATAAAGAGGAATGATTCTCCTCAAGACACATTCCCACAATAAAACTAAATCTCAGCCACAGCCAAAGACCAGTCTCTGCTCCAGGTTTCAGTTGTGGTGAACAGACCCAGACTGCCTGATGGTTGATTTTAACCACATGTAATGAGGCACAGAGGCAGAGCGGGTGATAAAAGCTGTTTGTGGTTTCAGGCCTAAGAAAGTGAGAGAAAAGAGCGGAAACTGCGACTTTCTCTGTGTTGGTGAGTTGAGAGTGTGTGAACCTGCGAGACACAGTCTAGCTGCAGGAACTGAAGGTGTGTGAGCGTGACCTTGATTTGTCAATGCTGTGCAAGTGACAAACCAAGATTGTGTGATTCAGACTTCACAGCTTCTGCCCTGGAAGATTGGCTGCAAGTTTCACTTTACAGGAGTTTTATCAGATGTGTTCAGAAGCAGAAGAATGGCTTAGCAGTAAAGACATAGGTATCTGGTTCACATCTACCCTTTGTCCCAACTACTAACTTGGTGGTCTGTGTCACATAAGCGAATCTGGCCTAAAACCTGTGTCGTATCTCTCTGTTGACTAACACAGTGTAGCACCTCGACACAAGTGGAAAATTGACTCTTATCAACGTATTAAGGGTCTGTGAAATGTATTAAGTACTCTGGTCCTGTTCCACTTGAACCGGGAATAGCAACATCTGGGACTGATTATCAGACACTGGAGTTGGAGCTGCTACAGTTTGTGGAATAATCTACTCATTGACTTTCTAGATTAAAAAAAAAGATGTAGACATAAATTTCATAGGCCTCATTGGTTATCTCTGCTGAAGTTGGCTTCAGTTTGACAATAGTTCTCCCTTGAATGGCAGGCATTTTCCTACTCAGCGGTTTTTTTAAAACTAAATGAATGAACTGCGGCAGGATTGACTTTAAAAGGAGATAAGTGGTGTTTATTTAATGAGCATAGCTAGACAGCAACTTCATGTTGTTTATAAAGAATTACACCAACGTCAAAACAGTTGAATTTATATTATTAGGTAAATTACTACTAGATGGCATCATACTAAAGTGCCATTGTTTGCATATAAGCTCTTTCCATCTGTGCTGTAAAGGCTGAGTGAAGAGTTGACTTCTGTAGAACAAAGGTGTGGTCAAATACTTTGGTCCATATGGTAAATGAAAAATGCAGCAGCAGATGGTTGCAGTCTGTCCTGTTCACAACAGCTGATGTCTACTGTGTACCATACAGTAGGCAAGAGAGTTTCTGCTGCTTTGTCAACCTTCCCATTGACTGGTTCTGGATTCATTCCAGATACTTTATCCAAATTATTCAGGGGTGTCCAATAATGGTTATGCTCACTTTGTATTCGTATTACTTTAGATTTAACAGGCCTATCAGGAAATGTCTAGATTTTAGTGGAAGTCTGCAAGAATTGAAATGATGTTTTAAAAAATAGAAATATTGAAGAAAGCTATGTTGGAAAATGTGCATACATTATACAGTAGTAAAGCGCAAAGGTGAAGCCGCCTGCAGCAAAACCTGACATTTCAGACCAAAGTGGTCGTTCTTCAGGAACTGCACAGTTATGCATTTTTGGTCCTAATTAAAAATGTCCGGTATGACTGGAAACACATGCACGCACACACTTACACACACACACCCTCTGTTGTTCCAGGTCTATTACACTGTGGAACATTACCAAGCTGGGCGCACAACTCTCCACACAACCTTTTCCATGAGTCTTCTAATTAAGTTTGCTAACATGTCAAACGTTTTGGTAGCTAAAGTGAAAATACTACGACTTTCAAGAATCTCATAGTGGGAACAAGGGAAAAAAGTCAGGTCCATGGTTGTTCTGTTAGTTTTCTGCTCGTCAT